ATATATATATATATATAGTTAAGTTCAAATTGGATCACTAACTTTTTTTATAATCAATATGATCACTTTTTAAACCATCATTTTAGAGCTTATTTTCTATCGAACAAAATATCTAAAAATATGTAAATTCATGATTTTTCAACCACTTTCCATATTGATATTTGATTTTTTTTCTATGAAAATGTGCATCATATGCACATTTTTCGTAAAAAAACTCATCACTTTTTTTTTTCAACGAATCACCTTCTATATTAACATGTTAAGTAACACCATGTTTCAAATCGTTTCATAATTTGGGGCCGTGACCCCGAAAACCGGTTATCATAAGGCTTAAGGCCTTTGGGAAAGAGACTTAAACCCCTTTGAGAGTGGATAATGTAGGTTAGATGATCTGGGAGTTCGCTTTGTATTTTAGAGTCCAAGGGTATATCAGTAAAGTGACAGTTTGGGCCTTTTATGAATTTTGGATTTTAGTTCGGAAAGTTTTATGGCAAGGGGGAGTTGATAGAAGTATAGAGCTTCTTATTACCTTTCCGTGGATATAAGGATCATCGAAATTGGATTTAGAATGAAAACGTTATGGCTTTCGGAAGTTTGGTGGCTTTAAGGCTAAGCCTAGTATGCTGGGCGTACATAGGGAGTACGCTGGGCGTACTAGACAGGAGGATCGCGGGCACCTTATGGAGTACGCTAGGCGTACTGGGAGTACGCAGTGCGTACTCCAGCCTCATGCAAACCCTAATTATGGGTCTTGGACCCTATTTAATGATCTTAACTCAACTCCAATCCCTCTTATCTTCAACCTCCATCCCATTAAACCCTAGATTCGAAACCTTAGCTTCCATTTGAGCATTTTGAGGTTTTTGGTGTGCCTTGGAGAAGAAGGAGTTCTTGTTGGAAGCATTGCTTGGCTTAGAGCTTGTGGATCCAAATCATCTTCATCAACTTCTAGGAGGTATAAAGTTTCTAAATTGATGAAACTACGTGTTAGATCTAGTCTAGGGTATGTTTTGGGTTTATTTTGGTCCTTAGAGTCATCCTTGTGAGTATGCGCTACTCCAAGATCTTAGAATGTTGGATCTTAGCACTTCTGAGGTTGTGGGTGCATAAAATGTCATCTTGATGGGTTTGGGTGAGTCATGATTAAGTTGGTGTTCATATTATGGGTTTAGAAGGATAAAAACGGGTTTTGGGTCCCCTTAAGGCATGCAAGGGAGTAAAGTTGGCAACTTTATGGTTTAAGACCTTATCTAGGGATCAGATTTGTGTTTGGATGACTTGACTTAACCCAATAAGAGCTTAATATGGATTTTTGGGCCTCCGTTGAGTACGCTCAACGTAATGCTTGTATCATGCAACGACTGCTTGTACATGGTGCTTCGGGGATGAGTACGCGGGGCGTACTCCCAGGGTGTCCATTTCGGGCCTTTTAGGGTTTGGTCCTTGTTGGTCCATTGGTGAAACATCCCAAAAATACAACCCAAAAATTTCGTTTTTAAAACATTATTAAGACCATAATCTCATCACCAAAGTATAAAATCATAAACCATGTGTTTCACAAACTCATAATATCTAACACATATCAAATCTCATGTCAATATCATATCAAAATATCAGAGTAAAACTCCTAGGCTGAAGAAGGTGGTGTGTGCCATGCGATCATCCCGAGCTCTTCCCTTTACTACCGGAAGTACCTGAAACCAAAACTGAAACAGTAAGCACGAAGCTTAGTGAGCTCCCCCAAAACTACCACATACCATACACATATAACATACAACTAGGAGATACGGGCCCCGCCCACACTCATGGAGATACGGGCCCCACCCACACTCCCCTAACTAGGAGATACGGGCCCCGCCCACACTCAGCTACTATGAGATACGGGTCCCGCCCACACTCAGCTACTACACTGACATACAAGTATCACACAGAAACAAGTATACTAAGTCTATCATTCAATCATGAATCATATTGCAACCAAACTACTAGGAGATACGGGCCCTGCCCGCACTCAACTAACTAAGAGATACGGGCCCCTCCCACACTCCACTAATAATAAACTCATACTGCGGGCCGGCCTTGGTGCCTTAGACCGTTCCTACTGAAGGGACACTCACCTCGCGTGTCTGACTGCTGAAACCCTGAGTGAGAAATATCTGGCTGCTGCTCCGATGGCTCTCCGGCTATAATTCCCACAATGAAACTTAGTCAAAAACTGATAACTGATCTCAGGGTGAAATGACCATCTCACCCTTGGTCAAAATTAATATTCTGGTCAAAGTCAACATTTCAGTTGACCAGACTTGCCGAGTTGGCCCATCAACTCGCCGAGTCCCTATTCTTTCATCTGCCCCCAACCCGACTCTACTCGTCGAGTTTAGCAAGAACTCGACGAGTTCTCCTTCAATTATAACATCGGGACAATCTTCATCTGACTCGCCGAGTTCCTCCTGAACTTGTCGAGTTTATCTTCATCATATGATCGTGTCTAGTCTGTGACTCGCCGAGTTATATGAACAACTCGTCGAGTCCATCTTCATAAGTTGGGAGATGGCCTTGGACTCGCCGAGTACGTTCCTGCACTCGCCGAGTCCCATGATTTCCAGATCCATGGCTTTGTCCATTTCATTGAGTCCCTTTCCTGGACTCATCCAAATCCCTCCTGAACTAAAATGGGTTCCTCTGAGTCATAACAGTTTTGGGAACTAACTCACGACTCACCGAGTCCCAAGAACGACTCGCCGAGTCCATGCATGTCCAAGTCTAATAATTCGCTTTCTGATGTGCAAAACTCATCCAGAAGGTAGATCTAGGCTCCTAAGATCGGTATAACACGTAAAGCCATTGACTTTACGTTCATGCATGGGACTTTTATGCTTAAAGGACCAAAAATGGGGTTTATTTCATTCTCGGGGTTCTCATGGCCATAAAGATGGCACCTTTATGCCA